TTTAGGGTTTTAGGGTTCGGGTTTAGGCAAAGCCTCCCTTGCTGCCCGCAACCCCAACACTCTGAAGTCTGGCTTGGCGCTCAAGCCCTTCCCCTGCGGAAAAGAGCGATGAGAGTTCCCATCATCTGAGAGCAGACAGATTTTGAAGAGGATCGGCTGGAGCCTGGAGCAATGTACTGCTACTGGGGTTTGGGCTGTTGTGTGTTGTTCAGATTTAGGATTTCGAGTGTAGCTTTAGGGTTGGGTTTTAGGGCCTTTTGGGGAGGTTTCTATTGTGGGTCTCGTGTTACAGGGTTCTGTTTACGATGTTGATTTCTTCTGCGTGTTGTCACAACGTTTTTGGTAGAGTTTTACGTTTATTCATCGTCTTGCACGAGCAACTCACCTTAGATCCTAAATCCGAAACACCTAGACCCACTTGATCAGTGTGCTCCATGCCGGGGCCTCGTCCTCGACGATCGTTCCTTCGCTAAGAAGCAAAAATGCAATCCGCCCAGTGGTGGGTTCTCGTTAGAGGAACTTGGCTTGGATTAAAACAGGTTGGGGGTAGTATGGTAAATAAAAGTCCTCAGCAGGAACCCGGATGGGCTGCTGTTCAGGGCTTTCCGTAGAAAGCTATAGCTTGAGCTGGGTGCAGTCTTCTCTGGCTTTGTGAATTCATGGCTGAAGCATCGCGATATCTTGAAACCTAGCCCTGAACCTTGAGCAGCCGGCAGCCCTCAACCGGCAGCCCTCAACCCTAATCTAGGGGCCTTCACAGTTAGAAGAGGTGTTCTTTGGGGGTTCCCTTATTGTAATTATAGTCTACTATACCCCAAACCCTATTCTAAGTATTAAGGCCCCTACATTAAATCCAAAAACCCTCTTCTACTTGAGCAGCGGCAGAAGGGTTTGCTTCGCCAATTTCGGCTCGGTCTTCCGAGCTCGCAGACAAACTCTTCCCGCTTTCCCTCTCGCTTCTTCCTGAGCCCTTCGGCCCACTACGCCTTCTATCCTTAAAGGAATCCGAAACCCTAACACCCCACGGCCCTAAACCCTAAACCCCTAAACCCCTAAACCCTTTAGAATCCACCTTTAACAGCCCTTACATCTGACGACCTCTATAAGCATTCCACCCAAAACCCTCTCGGCCCATTCTGCCGCCCTTTTTTTGGAGGAGGGCGGCACGGACTGGGAGCGGTGGTTCCAGGCCTGGGTCCTTGTTATTTAGGGTTTAGGGCTTTAGGGGTTTAGGGTTTCAACCCGGTTTGTGGGAGTTCCTGGCTTTCCGGCTACCCTCCCGATCTCGGATGCAGGATCCTGGGAGCTGGGTACTTTCTGCGTTTGCGGGTGCAGGTGAGCTTTGTGCTTGGGGTTCGTGAGACCGAAGCGCATCTGTTTCCAAAGTAGACAAGACTGCACACGCTGCAGAGCCAGAGTGCAGCATGTCGTGAGGGTAGTTCTCCAAATTAGGTCCCTTTTAGGACCCTTTTATAAGGGTGCCGTACTATTTTGGGGACCTGAAAAGGGACCCTAATTTAGAGAACTAGCCATGAGTGTCAGCAGAATTCATGATGACGATGCGCATCGGGCGAACTCAAAGGGTGCTCCAGCCACACCAGGATGCGTTTCAGCAGCCGGATGTGAACAACACCAACACGCTGTGGTGCCTTGACAGGGAAGCCTACAGCTTGAGTTTACCTTTTTGGGGCTTGTCGTCAAGATGTGGATGCCATTGGTAGGTTGGGGAGGTCTTTTCAAGACATGTGAATTCTGATCTGGGCTCTAGGCTCATCATAAAACAAAACGCAGAGGACGATGCGGACAGCTAAACATCTAAAGACAGAGATGCGACCAAAGCTTCAAAACAGTTTGACAGTAGCAATACGAACGTGAGACTTCGAGCGAATAGCAATGCATGCCACCAGCAGTCACCAGCACGGACAGCAAGACCGGCAGCAGCAACATCTCACCAAGACCATACTTTTAAGAAGGCAGTGCTGCAATGCAGCAGACACGGGCTAGCACTATGCGAGTATAGCAATGCAAAGATGTGTGGCAATCGTTGTGTAGTTGTACGGCGATGTGAAAACACAGCCATGCTGCAGTGCACTTAGTGCCGATCCCACTGAGGGATGCAACAAGGAGGATGTTTCGATCTAGAAAGATGCAGCAAATATACTTGGCAGCACCGAATGTTGGAAACTGGAAGGCAATATTTGCTTTAGGCACCTATCGCAAGACGATATCAATCGCTGAAAGCGCAACACTGTGGATCGTTACTCAGTTCTGGAATGAAAGCCAAGATAAGATAGCACTGATACAGCACTGTGACGCTGCGACATAGCAAGACATATTGAAATTCCATGCGAGGCGCTTAGCCGTGTGTAGGGCAGCTCCCCTGCTAAGTAGCCCCAGGAAGCTCTATTTATGAGCGCTTCTGACCCTCAGGTTCTCGATCTGCTTGGTGGAGCCGGACGCGGCGATCATGGCGGAGGTTTTCTAAGAGGGCTCTGAGGGTTTTTCAGGCTCTTCAGGGTGCCGGGGTTTAGGGTGAATGCCATTCCCTGGGGGCTTCTTGGTCAACTGTTAGTCCGGTAGACTCCAGAACCCGGCTTTCTAGGTTCCCCGCTCGTACCCTTTTGCCCTTTTTCTTTTTGGGTTCCCTTGAGAACAACTAGTAGGAATACTGGCGAAAGTAAACCCAAAACCCTCAACTCCAAAATCCTAAATCCCAAGCCCTCAACCGCAAGTGTTGTGTCGAGAGTCTTTTGCATCGGTCTTTCAGCCGAAGGTGCGATCAGGTTCAGGGATTAGAGTTTAGGGTTTAGGGCTTTAGGGTTCTAGTGTCCAGGGTTTGGGGTGTAGGGTTTCAAGTGTTTTGGGGGTTTGGGGTTCATGGGTCCAGGATTTAGGGTATAGGGTTTAGGATTTTCGGGTTTAGGGTTTAGGGCTTTGTAAGAGAAATCCTTGGATCTGAATTTACGATTTGGGTAATCTTCTTACGTAAGACTGTGTTCGGTCGAATGCCTCGGGTTAGCATAACATAGGAACACTTTCGTCTGCCCTAGTAGTCCCATTAAAGAGGTCTTCGGCCCAAGGCATAGTAATTGATTCTAGGCCCTTGGCCATGCTCGCGGCAACTCCCGCGCTTTTTTGGGAAATTCAGGGCTCGCAATTTCAACATCACTCGTGTGTCTGACACCCTATCCGTCCCAAATCTAAGCCCTTCAGACTCCTTCTCAAAGGCTCGGCGCCAAAAACTCGCAGTCCTAGTATAGGGGCCTTAGTAATTAGAAAAGGGTTTTGGGGTATATTATACCTATATTTATTGTCACACTACGGCGGCCTAAGCGCTTTTCACGCTCTGCGCAACAGCAAGATCTCATGAGCCTGTTCGGCGAAGCAATGCTTACATATGCGAAAGAAGTGGCGTTCCTGCGAAGCATTGCTTACATATGCGGGAACTGGCAGAGGAAGTCGCTCACCGACATGCTGCACAACTCTGCAATAGCACTTCAGATTTACACTGCTTCAAAACAAACTTCCCTTCCTTCAACGGCAGGGATAAATTCCCTGTTGAGGGCCACCAATCAGTGGCCTTCTTCGGTTTAGTAAGTACATCAGCACGTTGAAGGTGGGTGGGAACCCAAATGAGTGGCACTCGGCTGTCCTCGACATCAGGACGTTCGTCATTCAAGCTCTGCCTCAAGCAAGCGATGTCAATGGCAAGCCGTCTATCAGACGGCGTCCTTGGCAGGCCTTCTTTGTGCATGTGATCGAAAAGTGATCTGCAGTCGGTCACGGCCAGCAACGGAAAATCTTTGCCAACATCACGGCTGATCTTTCCGAAGAGGAACGAGAAGAACATTGCCCTGACATACTGTGCAAGCTCGATCCCCTCAATGCATCCCATCGTCTCCGCCCCGAAGGTCGAGCGGCATACTCTGTCGCAGGCATGAGAACGCCACTCCAGGATGCTTGAAGGCACCTCGCCACTTAGCGCGCCTCTTCCGTGAACAAGCACGAGTGCACCAAGCTGGGAGGCCACTGAGGAATTCTTCTTCTTCGTCTTCCGCTTCTTTTCTACCCACGGACCCTCTTCGATGAGTCCATCCTGCTCTCGTCACTGTAGAGGAAGTAGACCGGATCCGCGTTCGAGTCCGGGGCATTGCTCCAGCCAGCATCGTGGAAGACGGTGAAGACAATCTCGTTGAGAGGTACTCGTGCCAACAGAATGCCCTCGTCCTTGTGATGTAGGGCTCTCCTCGCCATCAGATTGGAGAAACGCAAGTCTCCAATGCTCGGCTTCGCTTGGAGTTGTTGGCACATTGACACTCCACAGGCAAGATCTGGTCGGGATTGCGAGGCCAGCCATGAAAGAGCACCAACCAAGGAACGGTTGTCGGCAATCTGTTCCGCATTGGCTGGTGTATCGTCTGAGTCCTTCGCGTCGATCTCAACCTCAAACAAGCGGTTCGCTGCATAGGAGGACTGGGATATAAAAATCCGTCCTCCCTCGTCTGAACATGCGAGCCGATGAAGTCGAAGACGTCCTGTTCCCATTCATCCACAGGGAAACATTTGGATAGCTGCTCTTGGACTGCATCCCGAGTGGTCTTGCTCCCAACCAACAAGATGTCATCGACGTGCACTGCTGCATAGCACATGGGCTGCCCGTCTCCTCGTTCTCCCTTGTCGTTCACCTGGATGAGCTGGTACACGCACGGGTTAAGGGCCGACTCGAAGAACTTTGCTCGCATCCCGCATGGCATCGTGAGAGTCAGCGCCTGGATGTCCCTCCGGAATTTCTGCCACCACTTCCTTGGTGAATCGATCAGGCCGAACACGCCCTTTTCCACCTTGATCAATTGATCAGGGTGGAGTCCGGGCAATCCGTGTCGTGGCTGTTTAAGGTACAGCTCCCGCTCCAGCTTCTCGCCATTGAGGAAGGCGGCGGTGACGTCGCCCGCCGAGACTCCCCAGTTGGCATCCAGCCTGGACGCTGCTATCTGAAGAAGACACATCACGGCCGTCCTGGAAACTGTGGGGGAATCCGTGCGTAGTGCTCCCGAGATAATGTCAGGATCGGTGTGTCCAGACACAACTAGGCGTGACTTCGCCTTCCATTCCACCGATGGGTCTGCACGTCTGCGGGCGAGATTTTTATCGCGATACGCGAATCTCGAAGTGAGCACTCTCCCGGAGTCCCTTTTTGCTGCACTCTCCTCCAGGCTCAACGGACGAAGTGCACCTAGTCGAAGATGTTCCTCCCATTGCTTGTGCTCTGCCTCGATGAACATCTGGCGCTTGCCCTCTGGTATCATACTCCACGGTATTTCTTTTTCTAGTTGCTTTTCGCGGCCACGTTTCGTCGTGGCTCTTTTCAAGATCATAACCTCCTCCGCCCTCTTGGTGGAGTAGCGCCTGCGCACAGCACGAGGTTGTAGTTCAACTGGTGCTCCACGCCTGGTGCCCGGGATCCTCTCGGCCTCATCGTCTCCGTTCTCGAGCTCCATCCCAACGGCCTCCGCAGATGCGTCCTCGTCCTCCGCCATGGACAGGTCTTCCAGGATCTGGTCCAAGAATTCTTTGTCCTCTCGGGGATGTCGTCTCCGTCGTAGTTGTTCTCCACCAAGCGTAGGAGATCGTCCTTGGTTGCACGTAGAGCAAACAGGCCTCCAACTTCTTCGGGTAGTGCTCGTCGAAGGTGTTCGGCTGCACATAGATAACATCTCCCACCATGGGAGATCCAGTAGTTTTCTCCTTGGCGTCCAATGACAATCCCGGGCCCCTTCCAGAAGCCATTCTTCTTGTTGGCTGGCTTCCTCCAGAAAAGCACCATCGAGCCATTTTCCAAATCCCGTGGTTTGACCCGGGACTTCTGGGACATTCCTCGACGAATCTTGTCCTCGGTCCTTGCCTGGTAGAAAGCGATCCTCGCGGCGTTCCGGATGGTCTCGCGGCGGTGTTGTGCTGCATCTGGGGTACGTAGAAGAGTACCCCCGCCTTCTTCAACCTCGAAGGACAAGTCCTCATCCGTACGGGGGTTCTTGCCGAAGACGATCTGGCACGGTGCCCACCCGCATCGCCGACGTAGGTTGTTCTTTGCTGAAGAAGTCGCTCCAATCGCCTCCTCAATCTCCTTATTGCGGACTGTATGGTCACGTACCACACGGTCAAAGATCTCTTTCCACCACTTGCCATGTCGCTCTGTAAAGCCTGATTGCCAGTGTGCCTGTCCGGCACTGGTGCGTAGTTCCACGTGGTACCAGTCGGCGAGCCGGCCAAAAGCGTCCTGTATCCCGCGCTCCAAGTCCAGGGTGATAACCTTGGGGGCCCCAAAGATCTGCACCCAATGGTTGAGGAAGGCCTTTTCCAGGACTGCGCCGGTCTGTCTGGGCACTTGGACGACCACGTGGTACGAGGAAGCGTGGTCGACCATTGAAAACAACTTCACCTTCTTGCCGTCGGCGTCGTAGGCGTACATCATGTCCACTCCAACCACGTCTCCGAATTCAAGAAGTTTCGGCTCCGCTGCGGGCCGTGCATTCTTGGGCCTTTTGCTCATAGCACATGTTGTACATTCCAGGCTCTTCGCGGCTTTGATCACATCGCGATCCGCTCCTGCGTGATGTAGGTGTCTCACCAAGTCCTCTTTTGCGGGGTGTCCAAGGTTCTGATGTAGTCGTCGGAGGGCGGCTGCCATATCGGGAGGAACCTTCTTGTCAAAGGTGATACCTGCTGCGCCTTCGAGTACTGCCCCTCCACCTCCAGGAACAGCTTGGTCTTCTCCCCCTTCAGCAACGTAGGCTTCCTCGTTAATTGTAGACGTCGTCCTGAACACCATCGTGCCATTGAACTCCGCCCGGGCCACCTTCCCGAAGTTCTCAAGTTGACGTAGTACTCGGCCTTCTTGGTCGTGGGAAACATCAGGAATGGTCACCACGAAAGACCGCTGTTGAAGAACTTGCCATCGCCCACAGATGTCGATGATCTCGAAGAACTTGTTCTCACAATCAACATCGAGGGGCGTCGGTGGATGTAGCCATATCATAGAGGGCCTGAACCGGGAGGACGCATCAATGATGTAGCTCCCAGGGGATTCTGTCGGTACATCTTCCCACCGAAGAGGTTCAGCGGCCAAACATCCGAAATCGAGGGTTGCCTCAAGGGTCTTGTTGATACCACCGATCTCCATGAGCGCAACGGTGGGGTGTGGCTGCTCTCCATCATTGTTGTTCCCAACCCAAGAAGCCGATGCCGAAGAGAAAGTAGCCAACGACCAAGTAATAAATGCACTTGCCCTCGATGCGGACCTCCACAGGTTCTTCCTCGTGCTCTTCCGGGGCTTGTTGGTGGGTAGCTTGCTTGAAGAAGTAGCTGTCGTTCTCTCTTCATCCTTTGTCGGAGCTGGTAGTAGATGTTTGCGATCTCGGCCGAGGTGTCTGAGGTCATGAAGCTGGAATCCCCATTGGCGTAGTCGTTTGCGTTCTCCTTGGGTACTTCCGGCAAATCCTCTTGTAGTAAAGCACGTGATTGACCACCGGTTTCCGGTCCTCCAAGGCTCAGCACTGTGGAGCTTGTCGGCATGAAAGTTCACAACCGTGCCGCGAGCTGGAAGAACGTTTCCAACAATGGGTCTCCCCTTTTGGTCGTTCATGGTAGTGGTTCTTGATGTGTTCCCACCACGGTGTTCCTGCCACAGTCCTCCTCCATCGGCACAGTCCCCAGTTGCAGTCAGGTAGTTGAGGGTCCCCTTGAGGTTGTTGTGGTCGGCGTGAACAATAGGCTTGCAATTCAAGGTCAACGAGATCGAGCTCCATCTTGCCGAAGGGTCCTTGTCCAGAAAGTAGCCCTTGATGTACAAGCACAGGGAGGCGAACTTGGATGTGTTCGCACAGATTCCACGCATATTTCCATACGTGTAGTAGCCGAGGACGATCTTGTGCTCCCCTGTGTCGTCTGCTCCCATCGCTCTGGAGCGGGGCTTGGCTCCGCGTCGAGGAAAATGTTCTCCCTTCTCACCGAAGATCTCCTCCAGGATGTTCGCCAGGGTGGTTGGCGCGTAGTCCTTTTCCGCAATCGCCTTGGCGAGCTTCTTTTCGACGTGTTCTGTAAGAAGGACCTCTGCATCGACCAAGTCGTCATCTAGCTCAGACCATTGCTCGGAGTCACCCTCATTGTCCTCGTCGTGGAATTCCTCCTCATCCTCATCGTCCGCTTGGTAGTTCTGGGGTGTTGCCGTAGACGTAGTGCCGCGAAAACCATTCACTGTAGATCCGCCTTGTCCTTCAACACCGCCAGACGTTGCTCCAGAGCACGGATCTCCTCCAGAACCTGTGGGGAAACATCCACAGACATCCTCTCCTTGGTGTTCGCCCTGTCCGCTGGGCGCTTTGGCGTCGATGATGCTGCTGATCCCCTCATTGACGATGACGGCGGTGTGAACGGCCTCTGGTCCTGCTCCTCTTTGCTGATTGCTGACACCTCCTCCCAGGACCGCGATCCCGTTGACGATCCCGGGTAGGGCACCTTCGCGTAGCGCTCTGGGTCCTCGATCATCTGTCGTCTCGTTGGCGTCGGGGCGTGCTTCTCCGTGGTCTTCTTCCGGTACCATAGCACAAACCGCTTCAGGTCCGGACTCATGTTGGTCCCGTTCTCCTTCTCCTCCCGGTCCGCCCACTCGACATACTGCAGGGGGATCTGGACGAAGGTGTTCCCCTTGTAGCGACCAATCTGCATCACCGTGTCGTCGGGCGTCTCGTGGTAGTCCCTGATATGCCGAATCAAGGTGCCCCGTGTCGTCTTGCTCCCGTAGCTCAGCCCGATCCTCTCCGCCTCCGTGCGTAGCTGGTCCAGACGCATGCCCGCCAGCCCCTTTGGCAGTTTGTTCTCCTCCTTGTAGAGGTTCTTGTGCTCCGTGATTGCGCTGCGTAGTTCCTCCACTGTCCACCTTGTGCTCGGATTCAAGCCCAGGCGGTTCGCCTCGGCGAGGAGTTCCGTCTTGCTCAATTGCCATGTCGGGCGCGTGGACATGCCCAGGAAAGACAGGAGGAAGTCGAATTGGGGTAATCGGTCTACGATTGAACACTGTTCGGCCAATCCAGAGGCACTGGTGACAGCTCTTCGCTACTTCTGGCGGAGACTTCCACAGGTCGATCGCCAACGGTAGAGCACGCTGTGAGTGACAACTGATGCTGCATGTCTCCCTTAAGCTACCAAGCACTCGCAAAAGATTGTCTCGAAGAAGAGATTGGGGTGTCTTCCACTCGGTGGGGCTGTGTCTTCCACTCGGTGGGGCTGAAGAGGGTCTTGCGAGGGGTCACGTGAACACGAACCAATGTATGCTTAGTCTCTATCCAGAAGTCTGACATAAGGCGTGTCTGATTCCACCACTTCACGAAGCACTCTACAGACAGGTTCTCACAGACGAGGAGGTTCTTCACTTCTGGAGGGATCTTCTTCGCATAGAAAATCTGAGGGAACTGTTCACGAGGGGCTCGGCTTTCGGGAACTTTGTTACATGCTACAAATGCTTCATGGACACCCGCTTCCCCTCTGCAATCCGCCATGTATGCTGCCAGGCCGGGAACGATCAAAACCTCTCCGCGGATGCACTTGTTGGCATCCCACATCTTGGGCTGTGCGATATCGGGGATCCCTTGTCCTCCAGGGTGAACGCTGATAGCAGGATGACCGGTAGGGGTCGTCATCAAGGGATGTCCTTTCACACTCACAGCCTCGAAGTCGGCCTTGTGCTCCTTCAAGTTGTAGACCATTCCAAGCTCAGCCAAAACGGATCGGCTCAGAAGAAGAGGCAAGTCACCATGGATGATCGCCACCTTGACCATAACCCAAAAGCTCCCGACCCGGAACGAAACAACCACGGCATAGCTCGAGGAATAGATGCGCGATGCCCCGAACTTGAAGTTGTCGCTCTCCTGGAGAAGTGGGACCTCGACATTGAAAGACTTCAGAACGTCCAGGTAGCGCTGCAGCCAGACAGTACCAGCAACCGACTTCGTGCACGCACTGTCGGCGATAGCCATCAAGTTCTCACTGAGGGGACCACTGGTCATGAACACCTCGTTGGAGATATTGGCCGTCTGGGTCACGTTGTTGTCCTTGGCGTGGGGAGGTTTTCCAGGGCATTCAGGGTCTTTGTACCAGTGGCCTCGCTGCTTGCACACGCTACAGAACGAGCGCTGTTTAGCGCTCTGGATCTTGTTGTCGATGGCCTTCCGGACCTCGTCGGGTTCCAGGTTCCAGTTCTTCACTGCATCCCTGTACTGTGCCTTCGCGGTCATGAAAGCCTCGAACAACTCGGCCTCCTCTGCATTCTCAGGCTCCCGGTTGGCGAGGTCGTCCTCCTCGCTCTCATGTTCCTCTTCGGTGAATCGCCTCAGCGGCGTTGGCACTGTTCACCTTTGCGGAGACAGGAACCCTGTTTCCGCACTCCCAGGGCTTGATCCTGTCCTTCTGGTCCCACGGGCGTCGGAGGCTCTTCTCGTGGAGCACCGCCGCGCGCTGTAGTCTGCTGCAAACAAACTCGTTGTTGACGCTGCCCAGAATAGCCAGCTCCTCAGAATGCGACAAGGAAAGTGCACTGAGATAGGCCCAAGCACGTGCAGTTTCAGGGAGGCGGCACTCGATTTCCACCAGCCTTGCGTAGCTGCGATCGAATGCCGCGTTAAATTCGCGGACCGATTGATTCGGACCCCTCCGGAGCTTCTTGAAGAATCCGTTCAGCGCCTCCGCGATTTTCCCCACCTCGATTTCTTGATACCTCTCTGCTATCCATGCCTTGAACTTGTCCACGCCGTCCACCGTGCACAGATCTTTGACATCAAGTTCTTCTGCCTCAATCCACGCGCGACCTTTGAGGCTCTGGTAGAGTAGCAGTGCTTGTTGCGCGGGTGGCGTGCGTGTAACACGCACCCAAGCATCGATCTGGCGGATATAGCTCCTGGCGGAAAGTCCAAGATCATCACCTCCGCTGTCAGCAGAAAAAGTCGGAACTGACATTCGTTCGCTTAGTCCTCCACGCCGATCGCCTTCATGAGGAACAGCATCACGAGGATCTTGAGGACGAGCTTGCCATTGGTCTCCTGGGATCGCCGCATTCTTGGGGTCGGAGTAGTGTGAGTACGTAGGGGTAGTGCTTCGGGTCCATTCATTTTCCCAAGGGCTGTAGTCTTGCTTGGAGGAATGTGAAGTTGCCCTAGTCCACTCAGTCTCCCAGGTTCCGTCGTCAACGGAGTTGAGGCGGGTCCACTCGTTTTCCCAAGGATAACCATCCCAAGACGTAGAGGTAGTAGCCCCCGACCATGAGTGACGACGATATCCTGCATCCCATCCGGCTTCCCATCCAGAATTCCAGGAGGTCTCCCACGCGCCTTTGGTAGGCCACTCCTCCGTCCAGGCATGTTGGTCGGGGTCGTAGGGCTCATAGGGTTCGTTGTTGTAAGGCTCTGCGTCATCCTGTGCGTCACCACGGCCCTCCGCGGTATCCACAGGATTCCCCGTGGCATTCTCATCGGAATGCCTCGCTGCTCGCCATGCGCGGCGAGCGCTGCTGCCGTCTTCACCGTGAACTTCGGGAGGATCAACGCCGCTGCGAGGAAGAGAAGTCCGGGCCGCTTCTGCCCAGGGGTCTAGCGGCTCTGCCGCTCCATCATCATCACCAAGTCCGGCGCCCGGCGCGGAAGCCATCCAGTGCTACCAGTGTCACACTACGGCGGCCTAAGCGCTTTTCACGCTCTGCGCAACAGCAAGATCTCATGAGCCTGTTCGGCGAAGCAATGCTTACATATGCGAAAGAAGTGGCGTTCCTGCGAAGCATTGCTTACATATGCGGGAACTGGCAGAGGAAGTCGCTCACCGACATGCTGCACAACTCTGCAATAGCACTTCAGATTTACATTTATAATAGGGAACCCCCAAGACCCTATTCTAACTATTGAGGCCCCTATACTATCCGAAACCGGGAGCTTGCACCAGATCTTGCGAACGACTTTCTCGACGATGCCAGAGCTTCGGCATCTCCTCGTCTTCGTGCCCTCAGCCATCTCCGAGGAGCTTCTGGGGGCAATACAGGGGCCTTTACTAAATAGAATAGGGTTTTGGGGTACATTATACTATAGTTTTTCATCAACAAAAAGGAACCCCCCCAAAATAGTATAGACAATTCTGAAGGCCCGCCTCTATTTTGGACTTTGAAGCCTCTTGGAGATCCTACTTGGAGGTTCATGGAGAGTTATACGTGGAGTTAGAAGCCCCTAACATGGACCATATTTATAGTTACCTGCTTATCAACCCGACTTATAAATACTCATGTGAACCTCCAAGTAGGGCCTCCAGGCCCGAAGACAAACCTTCCTTTCCCTTCCCTTTCGGCAACACTTCTGGCTGTCAGTATTGTTTCCAAGCAAGTCCCTCCGAACCATGAGAGATCGAGATGTTGCTGAACCCTAAACCCCAAACCCTACATGACTGTAGTGACGCGGAGACTGAGATTCAAGGTCCAATGGTATATTCCGACTTTCGGATGCCTTAACGGTGTTCGACGATTTTGCAGCGTCTCGCAGCGACGTTGTGGGCAGATCTAGGCGTGTACAGGGCCCGGCTAGTTCAGGATTGCTCACGCCATATTTTGAAGAACATTCCCTACTCGAGAGATTTGGAGTGGTTCCTGTCATCAGTATGACAAGAGTTCCCATGTCTATTTTGTGCGTGCCACAGCTGTTATTGGTGGCATTGTACTCCTGCAGGGTGGGCCACTGTGCCTAGGTCCGTGGTATGTTCTCCAGCAGCTTGAAATTCCAAACTCTTGTGATTATGACTCTTCCTATCCTCCTCCTGATATTGGTTCTTTGAGCTCCTGATGCAAGGTCGCTCATGACAAGAATGAAACTGCTGAGTAAGACCCCAACAGGGTGGCTATCGCTATGCTCACTGTGGTAACCGCCGTCTCTATCCTCCCATTACATGTTGATTTTCGCTCTACTCAAATCATTTTGACCACGTCTCAGCCCTGAAACTCGGAAACTTGGAGGACGCAGCTGTGAAAGTCCTCCAGCCCTTTCAGTCGCATTTCGTGCAGCTCGATGCCAGTGCCTCAGCCAGGGGAAGCGACACCCTGAGTACCGAAATGATGAGTGAAATCGTATTCCTTGGAGTCTTTTTTCAAGCAAAACTTTTTAAAGCTTATTCAGGCTTCTATGTTACCTTCCCGAAGTCCGTCAGTCCTGAAGCCTCCAGCGCCAAGCCTGACAGATGGAGTCGGAAGAGCTTATGGCGATGAATCACTGGGCTGCGCCGAGTTGGGACCCTGATTTCTGGTTGCGGCTGAAGGGCCCAGAGAGCCCAATACCCCTTAAATAAGGAATATATACCTTAGTTTTTATGGGCCTTAATATTGTGATTTAAGGTACATTCCTTAGTTGAGGGGTATTGGGCTCTCTGGGGGGCTGTGGGTCTTGAATACTGTAGCATTAGTCTTCGTGCTTATAGTTGAAAATTGTATGACGACTCCTGTTACAACTATGACAGTTGCTGTTGTGTGGGCCCTGACCACAGACAGAATCAGGACCTAGTTATTCCGACCAGTCCCTGTTCGTGATCATAACCATGCGCAGGCTCGTATGACAACCGGTGATGGCTTCGGCTTTGGCGTTGAGTACGTAGGTGCATTCCCAAAATCCCGAACCCTTCATGAACCCATCCCTCTGATGTGAGACCCCAGGTAGTAGGATTCTTAGCATGAAGACCCTCCCCTCCCCCCCTTCCCCCCTGTCAATGTGAAGGAAAGCCAGCGCCCTTACGATTCAGATAACTCCCCTAGATGTCGCTTGCAGTAAGCCGTATAGCAAGCCTTGAAGGAATCCTACTCTAATTACCAAGGCCCCTACTTCATTCCACCCTAAACCCGAGGCCCTAAACCCTGAACCCTAAACCCTAAACCCTAAACCCCTAAACCCCTAAACCCCTAAACCCCTAAACCCCTAAACCCCTAAACCCTAAACCCGAAACCGCGAAACCCTAACCTGCTCCCTGAGGTCCCGAGGGCCATCCTCCGATGGTTCTCTGCTGCAACCGCTCGCAGGCAGGGCCCTGGACTCTTCGCGCTAGGGGTTTAGGGCTCAGGGTTTAGGGCTTGGGGTTTAGGGCTTGGGGTTTAGGGGTAGGGGTTTAGGGGTAGGGGTTTAGGGATAGGGGTTTAGGGTTTAGGGTGTTTCGGGCTTAGGGTTTGGGGCCCTTATAAGGGGGCTTCTATGGGCTTTAGACTTTTCTTGGGCTTCAGATGTCGGGCCTTACGGGCTTTGGGCTTAGGTTTGGGGGTTGTGGCTGAGGATCCCTGTTGGCACATTCCTGGATGTCGTGAGTCCAGGCTCTCTCGGGTGTTTTGCGGAATCCTTTTAGCCCAACCTTCGCCCCCCTAAGCCTAAACTCTGAACCCTGAACCCTGAGCAACATCCCGGATCTGAAGCTATAATATAGCATATAGCATAGTGTAGTATTCTAGTGTAGTATGGTGTAGTAATAGTATATATTTCGTGAAGCTAATTTTAGAGGAATATTACATCAGCAGCCTTAAGCGGCAGCAGCCAAAGCACCGAAGCCACCTAAAGGCCCGGCTCTCCTTTGGCCTACCACAAGGGGGGGAGTCTGAAGGATCAAGGGCACACGCCCCCCTTAGAGTCCCGAAATAAGTAAAGCAAAGTGTGCTCTCATGTTCCCGAAGAGCCCCGGTTCGAACTATTTTTCGGCCCCTCCGTGGATGACTTCAGTGTTCCTTTAATTTAGGGAGTAGTCATGAGAGGCCCTGGGCCCTCAAGATCCGAAGCGTCAACGTCTCCTCCGTCTCCTCCTCTTAGGGTTTAGGGCCTTTAGGGTATTAGGGTTCCATCAGGTCATCGCACCTCTGGGCATCCGCATCGCTCGAGTGGAGGCACGGAAGGGCAGAGCTCCGGGTGAGGATGGCTTTCGAGAGGGGCCTTTGCAGGGCGCTTGAGACTCCAGGCGGAGCTCCTTGACAGGCTTCGGTGGTTTAGGCTTTTAGGCTCTTGACGTTGGATTGGCACTTGAAGCGTGTGTTTCTTTGGAGTGTTCTTGTGCGTGAATCATGTTGTCTGCGGCGGCACGAAGGGTGGTTCAGGGCCTTTCTGTTCTAGTGTTGTTCAATGTTCAAATTGTTGCCAGCGTCAGCATCTGCATCTGTGTCAGGATCAGTGCTGGTAGCTGGCAACGCTGTCGCGACTGACTTTCGCCGCGACGACGACGACGACGACGACGACGACGGTGGCGGCGATCATGATGACCGCGACGACGTAGCGGATGAGAGTCATCAGAATGATGAGGATGTTTCTGATCATGCTGAGAATCATTTTCATGATCGGCGCCTTCTTCGCCATCATACACAGCTTTGAGCAAGGGCGCGATCGCCAAACACCACATTCCAGCGCACAGCAGCAAAGCACGACTTGTCAGCATGTTCTCAACCATCAACGTAAGGCTGCTAGAGCTGGAAAGGGCTGATTCCGATGCTTTCTACACCACGCCGCCTTGCTGCAGACTTGAAGGCATAAGCCGCATAAGCATTGCCAGCCTGAAGCCGCCTTCATTCTCTGTGTGTATTTTGCAGGGTTTCCATAGCCGGGAAGACACACCAAAGTTCGATCGGAAGTCTTAATTTAAGGGCTCCTATGGTACTAGCTCGAAAACTCCGCAACTCCCAGGAGGCCCCATGTGAAACGGACCGTAAAGAGCAGCAAACAGCTGAGAAGCGAGGATCACGACAACCTCGCAGCAGTCTTCGACGCCCAAAGCGAGGTGGGTTGGCTCCCTAAACCCTAAACCCTAACCCCTAAACCCCTAAACCCCTAAACCCTAAACCGGCTCATCACTACGGATTTTGGTTCTTTGGGCTTGTGGCTCTGGTTGTGGTTTCCGGGGGGCCTCAAAGCTCCGCTGCTTTCGCGAGGGGAACCCAGGAAAAAAGGGGCCAAGGGTGAAGAGATCTTCCACCGGTCAAAGGACCGTTTGAGCGACCCTGGGCTTTCAGAACTTTTCTGGCTTCGGAGACCTCCCATGAGTTACTTTCCCGGCA